TCTTTAAAACATGAATTACCTGAATGATTGTGTTTTTCCCCTCATTATACAAGTTGAAGGAAGAAAGAAAGCTGACTGCAAACAATAAGACAAACAAAAGAAAAGTCTGGAATAAACCAGTGTTATCAAAATAGAAGAACCCGAGGGAGCATGAAGAAGGTTGCCCAATATCTATAAAGCAAAAGAGAGATGTGAGAGAAATCCATCAATTAAAATTAATTACATGTTTTGAATGATCGCCGATGCTGACCTCATGCTCCAGGTGCCTGAAACAAAAGAAAGAAGTGCAGATAATCGGGTTGTTATGACATTTTCCCAAATGGCCACTTTCCCTTCAGCAAGACCAAGGCTGTCTCTCTTGCACTGGACTCTCGCAAACCACCTGGGCCAGGACATGAGATCATGGCTCGGGGTCCAGAGAGGAAGTCCTGAGTCCTGGCAAGGATCTGTCTACACCCAAATCTTCCACTGGGCTGATTATACTTTCTGGCAGAACCTGGATCCTCTGCACATCTCACCAGCCCCAAGTCCCTACGTGATGCCGAGCCTCTGTCCCTCACCTGGAAAACGGCAGTGGCTCGCTGAGTGGTCTTCGTGGTTTTGCCCTCTGCAGTCACCCTGTCTTGACTTTTCTATTTGCTTTTTATTTGTTTCTTCTATTAGCCTATAAACTTCTTGTTTACCAGTCAGCGGCTGGCACATGCATGGCCTAATAAATATTTCTGGATCGAATGGAAGGAGCTTTGAACAGTGGCCTTCTCAAGCAAAAGACATTTTCTCTCCCAAAGGGACATCTGCTTTGTCCATATGAAAACCAGCTCCTTCATAGGTTCTATGGGGAGCCTCATTCAAATTATAACAGACTTCAAAGTCATACAAGCAGTCGTGTGCCTCCTTTTAAGTGTGTTAGTTTGCATTTTTCACACTCAGGAATAGAAAGCAGGGAGTGAAATATCCCCCAGTAATTATTGTGGCTAATTTTGTGCTTTTGCCTATGGGGTCTCTGGTGGTCACATGCCTCCCACCTCCCACCTCCCAGCTCCTTCTCAGCAATTGTTTTCTGCTACCTCTCCCACAATGGCCCTACCTAGCTCAGGCCAGAAGTCAAGCAATTCTGCTACCCTGGCATTGACTCTAGTGCATCGACGTGCTCTCTCTCTGCCACATTCGTGACCACCTTGGGTGGTGGAAGTCAGGTGGTTGCAGCACAGCCCAGAGCCCCTTGGCAGGAAATGGCCCGAGGCTGTTTCCTGTGTGAGGTGGCCTTATTATAGAGCACTTCATCCTCCCCCACCTCCTGCTGCAGCTGACTGGTTCAGGATGCTCACCCCAGGGTCATCCCAGAGGCTGGCTGGCATATAGGAAGCTCCAGCTAGGGACGGGGCAGTCATCTCCTACCTGGAATATGACCTGGGAAAAGTGGCAGAATCACATGGTTGGTAGAAGTTGGAAGTTCGTGAGAAAGGGAACGGCTGTGTGGGGCCAGGAGCCAATGAGAGTTATAGCGAATCGGAGGTGGAAGAGCTCATCTGAAGAAGAGACACAAGACTTGGAAGCAGGAAGAGATGGAGCAGACACACACAGGAGGCCGGCACCAGAATGGCAAGTCAAGGAAAGCTGGCATGTCAGAGGGAAGCTCCAGGAACTCCGGCAGCTGGGCCTGGGACCACCTTGCACTCCTAATACCTTCTCGCTCCAATCTCCACCATCACAGCTCATGGGTTGTGCCTAGGTTTTAGGAAGACTCTGGCTCACTTGTTGCACCATGATAAATCCTCATTGCCTGAGTGGCCCTAAGTGACTCCCTGTCCTTTATGGGCTCACAAGCCAACAACAAAAGAGACTGCCAGCAAGGGGTTGGGCACCCTGGCATGGGTTGTTCCATTAGGCCCTGTGTGTTGAAAAGCACTGGGGGTAGTGTCCAAATAGCTAGCCCCTCTGCCTCCACAGGGGAGGTTCAATTCCTCAAGGATCCAGCTCCATATTTTCTTTTTTTTATGTATCCTTCCCCAACTTTATATACATATATAAATATACACATTTTATCAATATATTTATAACTATATGCAATATAAAACTTTATATGCAATATAAAATATATAAGTATATGTAATATATAAATATAATATAAATGATGTAGCTATAACCCCATATGGTAATATGTAAGTATAAATTCATGACAATATCAATCATCCTTCCTGTAAAACTCTTGCTGAAATAAGTGCAAATGAGAAAAAACAGATTCTGGTTCCCAACCCCTGCCAGACATTCAAAGTGGAAAAACTGGGATTAGATTTTGTAAAGATTTTTTTCCTGTCCCAAATGGCAACTGATTGTTCCCTCCTGGCAAACAAATTGCTGTGCCGTCCCCTGTAAGTCAGATATCCTCTGAGATTTGTGTAACTGAGACCCCCATGACTTTCCGAGGACTTGAGGTAATTATGGGCACATGTGTAACAACTCCTTCAAAATTAAAAACAAACAAAAATCATAGAAAGGGGAAAATAATGCCAATGAAGCTGATATAATTCCAATAGTAAACAACTAAACTCCAACTTTCCTGGAAGTGATGAGAAAAAGGGAAAAGCCAAGATAAATAGGTTCATTGTTTAATCAAAATAAATGAATCAAAAGAGAGAGGCAGTTTCTTGGTACTATTTTTAAAAATTAGGTCACTCATAATTTTAACATAGTAATACTGCTATTTTTGCTTATACACATTGATTCCAGTCTTTGCAAGCAAAATATAATTTTATTTTCAAAAATATTTGAGTAGGTAAAACATTCACATAGATTGAATGAAAAGGATGAAGTGTATGGTGTAAAGCTTTCTTCCCATCCTTGTCACACATCTGCCCAGTTTCAAATTCCCTCAGCCCCAGGTTTGTAATTTTCTGAAATTTCTAAGTCATATTAACAACATCAATATCAACAACAACAACAACAATATATATATATATATATATATATATATATATATTTCTATCTCCCATTTCCTTTTTGCACCCTGGTTTTTTCACTTAATCCTATCTTGTAGTCCTATCCATACCAGTAGAAGGAAAGTCCATTAGGGCTATTTTGACAAAATACCTTAGATTAATTTATAAACCATAGAAGTTGATTACTCACAGCTCTGGAGCCTGGAAAGTCTGAGATCAAGGATCCCGCAGATTCAGTGTCTGGTGAGCGACCATTCCTCATAGAAGGAGCCTTCTAACTGTGTCCTCACAAGGCTGAAGGACAAACAGGCTCCCACAAGCCTCTTTTATGGGGCACTAATTCCATTCACGAGGGCAGAGCCCTGATGGCCTAACCACCTCCTAAAGACCCCACCTCTTAACACTATCACCCTGGGTATTAGGTTCCCACAAATGAATTTTGGAGGAACCCCAACATGCAGACCATAGCAGAAAGCTTCCTCATATTCTTTTACAGCTATATGATCCCTCATTGTCTGCACGTCCTAGACCTTATTTAACCAGAGATTGACTGATATCATTTGGGTTGCTTCTCATGAGGCAATTATCCAGACATTGCCTCTTTCCCTCATATCTGGCTTCTTTCTGCCCCTCCCCCAGGGAACAGCCCATGGCTGAGGTTGTTCTGCGGGATATGCATATTCCCTGAAACATATCAAGTGATGCAGGTCACCAATCAACCCAAAGACAATGTAGTCACCACACTTAATCAGTGTGGTTGTAAACACTGTGTAGGAGTTTGAATAACTAACTTCCTTGACAATAAAACGGTTTGCTGTGCTGTCCTGAGGTACCAAGTCTTTCATTAATGACCTGCTTCCATCATCTCCCATAAGTAAGGTCTCTCCCTGCTGGGGACTTTTTTGGAATAGGTAAGCATTGTGCGGAAGCCCTCTCAGATCTGAGGCTACCGTGTTACAACTGGCGTTGTTGGCAGGATATTTCAGAGAAGCCCTTCCACCCTGCCCACCTGCCTCCAGTAACCGAAGGAGAGACATCTGCTGGGGGCAATCCTATAAATCCTATACATGAAGCTAGGGTGAGTGATCTTATACATATGGACTTTCATCCATGTGCAAATGTAGCTGTGAGACAAATTCCCAGAAGCCGATTTCTGGGTCAGAGTGAATTAATGCAGCATTGGGTGCCGTGGCTCACGCTTGTAATCCCAGCACTTCGGGTGGCTGAGGCAGGAGGATCGTTTGAACCCAGGAGTTTAAAGACCAGCCAGGGCAACATAGCGAGACCTCATCTCTACAAAAAAATAAAAAAATTAGCTGGATGTGGTGGTGTGTGCCTATAGTCCCGGCTATTTAGGAGGCTGAGGCGGGAGGATCACTTGAGCCCAGGAGGTTGAGGCTGTGGTGAGCAGTGATTGTGATCGTGCCACTGCATTCCAGCCTGGGTGACAGAGTGAGACCCTGACTCAAAAAAAAAAAAAAAAAAAAAGAATGCATATGTAAATTTGCTAGCTATCCCCAAATTGCCCTGCTTAGGGATTTTAATACCGTGTGCTTCAACCAGCAGAGTCAGATGGCTGAGTGCCACCGATACCCATACGCTCAGCCAGGACCAGTATCCTCCTGTAACACATCAGGGAGGAAAGGCACCATCTCTGTGCCAGACACACTCTCTGTGCATACACTAGGCATATTCCATCTTCCTGTGAGGCAACGTGTGTTCCCTGATTTTTTCTAAATGAGGAGAGACTGAGTCTCACAGAGGTTAAGGGAATGTGCACGACATCTCAAACCAGCAGAAGAGTCGTGAACCCTTGGCTGGCTCTGAAGCCTGCGTTGGTTCCTGGGCTGTGGCCATGGTGCGAGGGAGGACATCTCAGCAGGGCTCTAGGTCCTCCTGAGGCTCCTTCTATCAGAGCTCGTGGGGAACAGCAGATGACATTTCCCAGCTACTTTATTTTCTTGCCTGCTAAGAGTTTCAAGTGTCAGAGCTCTGCCCTGCTTGAAGGCGGCCCTGGCAATCCATGCCCCTCTGTCTCCTCCCCAGGCCTTGCCCTGCCCCTCACATGTGACATTTGCAGGCAGGGCAGGACTCCTCCCAGTGCTGCTCTCCCAGAAGAGTGTCCAGCCATAGGTCCAGGTCCCGCACCAGCTGCTCCAGCTCTCGCACCTCTTCCTCTAACTTCTCCAGGAAAATATGCAAGCTCTCCTTCAACCACTTCCTGGTGGCCTTTATAGGCTCTTCTGCGGGATCATCGGTCTGATGCTCAAGCCCCTGAAAGGCAGGCACCAAAGCTGCGTCTTGAACTCTTTTATGTAGGCCCCTTTACCGTTGGTTTCAGAAAGGTCCCTGGGCCTTTGCACATGCTATTTGTTCTGTGTGTAGTACCGATCTTTTCCTGGCCAGCCCCATAGACTTCGTGACCCACCTTGTCAATGACATCTCCTCTGGGAAGCCTTCCCTGATTGCCTCACCTCAGTACCTTGCTGAATATGTTACCTGGGAAGCCACAAGATTCTGGTAGTAGTTACAGTCTCTGATCCTTTCTGACGCCTCCCAATCTCTTCCTGAAACAGGCACAAACATCACCTCGTAAGGACAAATGAACAGTAATTGAAAGCACCAACGTGGTTGATCATCCCAGTGAGAGGAAGGGGGGTAGGGTAGGAGAAGGCAGGTTATGATGTTTCCTTAACGTGCAGCCATCTCCAGAATACTCCACCAGATTCCCCGTGGACCCAGCCCCATCTTTTTGAGACCCCAGGATGCTCACCTGTTATCCCTGTGCTCAAGTACAGCACCAAGACCAGCAACGCCAGCAGCGTCTGAGGGCAAGAGGAGGAGGAGGAAAAGGAACATGGATGTGAATTCCCTCCAGGGCCCCTTGCTTCTGTCACAAAAGGCCAGATATGGCAGTGCTGTAAGACAATTTTTCAGGCTCACCGTTTTTTTCTAGTTATCTAAGTCACACATGCTTATGACAAAACCCCAAACACGGGGGAAATAGATAACGTGGCAACTTACTGACATTTAATTTGTGTTTTCCCTCCTTTCTCCCTCTGAGAAGGAAAGCCCACCACCTTTTCTCATTCTTTGCCTCATTTAAAAATTTTTTTATTTTAACTGATCTTTTTTTTTTTTGAGTTGGAGTCTCACTCTGTCTCCCAGGCTGGAGTGCAGTGGCACTGGGTTCCAGTGATCCTTCCGCCTCAGTGTTCCAAGTAACCAGAACTACAGGCGCACGCTACCACTCCCAGCTACTTTTCTAGTTATTGTAGAGATGAGGTCTTGCCAAGTTGCTCGGGTTGGTATCGAACTCGTGGGCTCAGGCCATCCACTCGCCTTGGCCTCCCAAAATGCTGGGATTACAGGCTGAGCCACTGAGCCCGGCTTAACTGATCTTTAAAAGGAATCAACTTTATTGTGGTATAATTTACATGCAATGAAATGCACACATTTAAATTGGACTTTCAGCCGGGCATGGTGGCCCGTGCCTGTAATTTCAGCATGTTGAGAGACCAAGGCAGGAGGATTGCTTGAGCCCAAGAGTTCGAGACCAGCCTGGGCAACATAGCAAGACTTCATCCTTACAAAAAAAATAGAGTTTGATGAATTTTGACTATATGTCTATAACTGTGAACTATCACCCTAATCAAGGCAGAGAACATTTTCATCATCTTAGAAAGTCCCCTCATACCCTTTTGCCCAGTCAGTTCCCTCCTTACTGCCACCTACCAGAGAGAACCACTCATGTGTTTTATCACTGTGGAGTAGTTTTGCCTGCTTCATAACTTCATGCAAATGAAACCACATAGTATATATGCTCTTGTGTTTAGTTTGTTTTGTTCAACATAATGTTTCTGAGACACCTCTATGTTTTTTTGTGTTCAGTTTTATTGGTGAGTATTTATATTGTTATTATTTTATTGATGAGTGTTTATATTATATAAATGCTGCACAATTAATCTCTTCACCTGTTGATGGACTCTTGGGTTGTTTCCAGTTTGGGGCTATTTTGAATAAAAGTGCTAGGAACACTCATGTACAAATCTTTGTGTGGACATGTGTTCCCATTTCTTGGGTTAATATCCAGAAATGCAAATGCTGGGTTGTATGATAAGTGTATGTTTAATTTTGTAAGAAACCACCAGACTGTTTTCCAAATATTTGTGCATTTCACATTCCCACCAGCGTTCCAGTGGCTCCACAGCCTTGTCAACCCTTGGTGTCATTATTGCACATGTGGTGGCATTTCAATCTAGTTTCTATATGCATTTCCCCAGTGATTAATGATGCTGAGTATCTTGTCATGTGCTATTAACCATTCATAACTCACATATTTTTTGTAGTGTATCTATTTAAGCCTTTTGCCCATTTAAAAGTTTGACTATTTGTCTTATTAAGTTATAATAGTTTAAAAAAATATATCCTGGATATAAGTCTTTTGATTGTTATTTGTATTGTGAATATATTTTCTCCAGTCTGTGCTTTTTAAAAATTTTCTTACCAGCATCTTTTGAAAATGCAAAGGTTTCAGTTTTGATGAAGTCAAATTCATCAGTTTTTCCTTTTGTGGCTGTGCTTTTTGTGGGCTGTCTAGAAAATTTTGTCTACTTCAAGGTCATGAAGAGTTTCTCCTGTTTTCTTCTAGACATTTATTGTTTTCTCTTTTATATTTAAGAGTACGATCCATTTGGAGTTACTTTTTGTATATAATGTGATGTAGAAATTGAGATTTTTCGGGGGTATGGATGTCCAGTTCTAGAATTATTTAAAAGACTATAATTTTTTCTCACTGAATTACTTTGGTTTATCTACCATGTATATTCGCCATGTATTATGTGGGTCTATTACTGGATTATCTTTTGTCTCATTGATCTATATATCTATCTTTATACTGGTACTAAATCTGTGTTACTTTGCTAGGGCTGCCACACCAGAATACCACAGATTAGGTACCTAAAGCAATAGAATTTTATTTTCTCATGATTCTTGAGGCTGGAAATACAACCTCAAGGTGCTGGCAGGATTGTTTTCTGGTAAGGTCTTTCTCTTGAGCCTGCAAATAGCCACCTTCTCATTACGTCCTCACATGGCATTTTCTCTGAGTTGGCACATCCTTAGTGTCTCTTCCTCGTCTTATAGGGACACTAGTTCTATGGGATTTGGGTCCTACCCTTATGACCCCATTTAACCTCACTTACCTCCTTAAGGGCTTTATCGCCAAGTAAATCACTTTGGGGATTAGGGTTTCAACATTTTGGGAGACACAGTCTGTTCTTAATTACTACATTGTCACTGTTCTGTTCCATTGATTTTATATATCTATCTTGTGTAATGACCACACTATCTAGATTATTGCAGTTCTATACGAAGACTTGAAATCAGATAGTGTAATTTTTAAACTTTGTTCTTTTTCAAATTTGTTTTGGCTACTCTACATCCCTTGTATTTCCATATACATTTTAGAATCATCTTTTTCAGTTTCTACAATTTTGGGATTTTGACTGGTATTACAATGAACCTATGGCTCAATTTGGTAAGAAGGACTGTCTTTAAAATAGTTATTCTTATAATCCATAAACATGGTACATCTCTCCATTAGATTTTGCTTTAATTTCTCTTAACAATGCTTTATAGTTTTCAAGTGTAGTGGCCTTGTGTGTCTTTCCAAAGACTTATATATGGTTTTTGATGCCGTTATAAACAATATTTAAAAATTTTAATTTCCCAATAGTTTGTCATTAGTCTACAATAATACAATTGAATTTCTATCTTGTGACTTAATTCTAAAATTTTTTGGTAGAATTTGGGATTTTGCATATAGAAAATCAAATTGTCTTTGAAGAAAGTTTTATCTCATTCTTTCTAATATTTGTATTTGAAAAAGCCTTTTTTTTTGCCCCTTGCCTTGTATGTTGACCAGAACCACCACTAAATTATTAAATAGAAGTGGCAAAACTGGATATCCTTATCTTGCTTCATATCTTAGAAAGAGTGTAATTTTCGTCAAGTACAGAGTTGTGGACTTTTTATTGTGACTTTTATCTGGTGAAATAGTCCTCATATTCCTAGTTTTCTGATAACTTTACAATGAATGAATAAAATGCTTTTTTGTGTGTGTAACTACTGAGAGATTATATGTGTTCCTTTTTTGTGGTAAATCACATTAATTGCATTTGAATATTGAGCCAAACTTGTTCCTTCAGCAAACTTTGGTTGTCTATGATGCACTAGCCTTTTAATATTTTGCTGAATTTTAATATCTTGCTGAATTTGAGTTGCTACTTCTTGGTTAATTTTTTTTCATCAATATTCATGAGAGATTGATTAAATGTTTTTCTGTGTTTGCCAAGTTTTGGTATCAAGGTCATGTTGCCTCCTTAAAATTAGTTGATAAGGATGCTTTCTTCCTCTATTTTATGAAAGAATTTGTATAAGATTGGTATTATTTTTGTCTCAAATAATTGATAGAATTTATTGGTGAAAACTTTTGAGCCAGTAGTTATTAGGACATTCTATTTCTTCTTGAATCAGTTTTTGTAAGTAGTATTGTCTAAGAAGTTTGTCTATTTCACCTAAATTAACAAATGTGTTGGCTATCAAGTTGTTCCTAATAATAACTTAATATCCATTTAATACCATATAGGTCGTGATATCCCTCTTTCATTCATTTTAAAAAAATGTATAAAGAAAAAAGGTTGTGAAAGGAAACAAGATACTTCTTTCATTCTTTTTTTTTGAGTTGGAGTCTCACTCTGTCACCCAGACTGGAGTCCAGTGGCCACTCCTGGCCACTGCAGCCTCGACCTTCTAGGCTCCGGTGATCCTTCCACCTCAGCCTTCCGAGTAGCCGGAACTACAGGTGCGTGCTACCACACCTGGCTAATTTTTTTTTTGATTTATTGTAGAGATGAGGTCTCACCAAATTGCCCAGGCAGGTCTCGAACTCATGGGCTCAGGCAATCTACTCACCTCAGCCTCCCAAGGCGTGGGATTACAGGCTGAGCCACCGAGTCCGGCTCTTTCATTCTTGATATTGATAATTTGTGTTTTCTATGGTTTTTTTTTTTTAATAAAATTTCGTCAATTTAGTTTACCAATTTTTAAAATCTTTTCAAAAATGGTTTATTCATTTTCTTTACTGTCTGCTTTAAATTTCATTAATTTGATTTTATCTTATCATTGAGTTTAATTCTTTTTTTTTGCTTTCTTAATGTGAAAATTTTGACTCTTGCTTTAAAAGTTTATTTTAAAAATATAGGTAGGTGTGTGTATGTGTGTGTGTGTGTGTGTGTGTTTGCCTTAAATAAATAATACATTTCTTACATATCAAGTTTGTGAAGCAACATTTAGACCTGCTACTGCAACAAAGAAGATAAAAGATGTGTCTAATTTGCCTTTTCCCCACATAACCTTCTTTATAATACTAGCAACTACATTGTTAGCTTTAAAAAATAAAAATGTTACATAGCAGCAATACGATTGTTTCACAGACACAACTATAGTGGAAAGAAGCCCGACCAAAGGTACACACGGTGTGATTCCATCTGTATGAGGTTCAAGAACATAGAAAACTCATCTAGCATGCTAGACATCAGAAACATGATTACGGGGGTGGGATACTCAGTGGGAGGGGGCCCAAAGGAGCCCTCTGGGTTGCTAGAAATGTTCTAGAGCTTGATCTGTGCGGTGATGGCTCGCGTGTGTACACCTGATGCAAAAGTCATCATACTGGACGTCAAGATCAAGGCCCTTTTTCTTAACAATATTCCTTAAGAACCTTTTCATGGAAAACACACAGAACTGCCTCATTCCTTCAAACGGCTAATGAGTATTTCGTGGTCTGGAAGGTCTTCTATTCATTTGCCCCTTCCTCCCCATCAATGAGCTTTACAGGTTGGTCTCTCCCCCAGCACGCTGGCTGCTAGGTTTCTATTCTGCGCTGTATGCAGATGGAGGAAGATCCTTTAATCCTTTTCCTTGTGCTTTCTTTAGTCAGGCATCAAGACAGTTCCAGGAAAAGAACTAAAGCCAGCGTTTTCAAAAGACTCATTCACTCGTGAGTTTTAGTCCTTTTCCTGGTGCTCTCTTGGTGCCTGAGCCAAATGATTTCTCCTCTCTGAGCCTCAGTTTCTACATCTGTAAAATGGATTTTGAAATATGCTGAAAAGTTTTTCAAAAAGAAAAGGTGAGTCTCCGCTGAAGAATCGATGTGGGAAACACTGCGTGAAACAAATGAAGAGGTTTTCTCTGCTGTAGGGTTTCTCAGAGTCTTCCTCACTGAGCCGGGGAAATCTCCAAGAGGGTCATGGGTATGCAGCCTTTCCCAACCACAGGATTCTTTTTAGGATTTTTCTAAAAGGAGTACTCTTGGGGTTTGGTTTTTGTGGAACCCTTTTTAGGAACAGCTGCAGCCTGATGGGAGCCTTCAAGGCCAGGTCAAACGCCACGAGGCACAGGCGCACATTTACAGTAGCAGATGAATGAGTGAAGTCTTGGTGACAGCATGTACGACAGAGGTCAGTCATTGCAGCGTCTTCTTACCCTCAGAATAAAATCCCACCCCTTTCTTCCGTGTCAAGGCCCCACCAAGCGCCTGTCTCATTGGCGCCCACATCCCTTAGCGCCCCTCCCCCATGTTGCCCCTGAGAGGCAGTGGAGCTGGGGTAACTCTTCCTCGGGGTTCTCTGTCAGGTGGACCTGATTTCAAAGGGTTCTGAAATCACATGAGTGTGGTTTCACATCTTGCTTTGTCCCAGCTGTATGGCCCTTTTGCCTTTCTGAGCCTCAGTCTACCCATCTGTGAATGAGGTCGATAGCAGCTACCTCTCAGGAATGTTCTAAGACAAGAGTGAAGAGGGGGCGGAGGCATAGCAAGCATTAATATTCTTTTTTTTTGAATCAGGGTCTCATTCTGTCACCCAGGCTGGAGTATTGGCTCTATGGCTCACCACAACCTCTCTACCTCCTGGGCTCCAGTGTTCCTTCCACCTCAGTATACTAAATAGCTGGGACTACAGGTGCACGCCATCAGGCCGGCTAATTTTTTGATTTGTTGCCCAGTTTGGTCTCGAGCTCCTGGGCTCAAGTAATCTGCTGGCCTCAGCCTCCCCAAGTGCTGGGATTTCAGGCATGAGCCACCGCACCCAGCCAATGTTCTCCATTTTGACAAAATCTCACCAAGGTCTGAATTTCAGCCTTGAGAAGGAAATCTCCAGGAGTTCTTCAGTTTAGAAGTATGATCCTATTTCGGTTCGTCCATTCATTCAGCAACTATTATGCACCAAGCACCATTCCAGGCACTAGGGATTAAGCAGGAAACTAAACAAAAATCCCAGCTCTCCTGGAACACACCCTCTGCTGGCAGTGCAGACCATTAAATACCATAGGGTCAGTACTGACTTGAGCTAGTTGTGCTTAAGACCCTATGTTGTGCTCCGGTAGGTTGAACTCTAGGCAGAGTTGGATCCAAGGCCCATTCTGGACTTTGAGGGCCTCACTGTCTGTCTGGAGTGGCAAAGGGAGTCCTGATGGGAGGGAAGCAGCATGTACCTGGCCTGGCCTCACCTGCTTCTTGTCCTCATGGTGGCTGCCCCTCCTCTGTTCAAAGGGCCCGGCTGCCACCCGCCCCCTGCCATCTATCTGCTGGATTGCCATGGGCTCAGGTCAGACTGCCTGGGTGGTCCCAGGTCTCCCCACGACACCTTTCCCCTCCCCCACCTCTGGTCACCAGGCAACCTGGGAGCATTGTGCTCTGATGTCACAGAAGGTGGGTCACAGCAAGGCACCCACTTTGCCACCACCCTGATTTTTAAGCCCCTTCCCTCACATTTAAAAAAAAAAAAAAAGAATGTAGAAGACAAAGACCAGAAAGAAACATATCAAAAGACTATATTTCGGGACAATGATGTTTTTTATCTCTTTTTCTCTCTATATGCAAGTTTTTTTTTTTTTGAGTTGGAGTCTCACTCTGTCACCCAGACTGGAGTGCAGTGGCCGCTCCCGGCCACCGCAGCCTCGACTTGCCAGGCTCCGGTGATCCTTCCGCCTCAGCCTTCCAAGTAGCTGGAACGACAGGCGCGCGCTACCACGCCTGGCTCATTTTTTATTTATTGTAGAGATGAGGTAATAAAATGCGAATCCTAAAACATAACAACAAGGAAAGATATTTTTAATTGAAGAATTTATGGGAACAATTGTAGGTTCACATGCAGTTGTAAGAAATACTACACAGAGACTCTGGGTACCCATACCCAGTTTTCCCCCAATGGTGGCATCTTGCATCACTGTAGTAGATATCCCAGACAGGATACTGAAATGGATAACATCTACTAATTTTATTCAGACTTCCCCAGTTTCACATGTACGTGTGTGTGTGCGTGTGTGTGTGTGTGTGTGTGTGTGTGTAATCCTAAGCAATTTTGTCACACCTGTAGTTCATCTGACTCAGCTCTGCAGGCTGTATAAGAAGCATGGCACCAGCATCTGCTTCTGGAGAGAGCTTCAGGAAGCTCCCACTCATGGCAGAATGGGGAGGAGAACAGGTGTGTCACATGGTAAGAGCGGGAGCAAGAGAGATAGAGAGAGGGGAGGGATGCCAGGCTTTTAATCAACCCTTGAATGAACTATCAAAGAGAGAACTTACTCATTACAGGGGAAAGGACACCAAGCCACTTGTGAGGGATCTGCCCCCATGGCCTGAACACCTCCCACTAGGCCCAAACACTTCCAACATTGGGGGGCACGTTTCAGCAGGATACTTGGAGGGGACAGACATCCAAATGACATCATGTCAAGTCACAGAATTCCAAAACTACCTCTGTGAGGCTGCTGCCTCCCCTGCCCACCCCCACTGTTTCTAACTCCTGGAAACCACCAATCTGTTCTCTATTTCTAAAATTTTGCCAATTCAAAATGTCATATAAATGGAATCGAATGGTATATAACCTTGGAGGACTGACTTTTTTCCCCCCTTACATGGTATAATTCCCTGGAGACTTGTTCAATTTGTTGCCTGTATCAGGAGTTCACTCCTTTTTATGGCAGAATGGTATTTCATAAAATGTGTATACCACAGTGTGCTCAATCATTTACCCACTGAAGGACCGTTTTCAAAACCTAGCTCTCTCCAGTTTTGGGGTTCTTATGAATAAAGTTGGTATGAACATTCTTGTACAGGGTTTCTCTGGGATAAATGCCTAAGAGTGCAATTGCTGGGTTATAAAGTGATCACATGATATTTTAATAAAAACCTGTCAAACTGTTTTCCAGAATGGCTGTCCCACTGGACATTCCCACCAGCAGGGTATGAGGATTCAGTTTCTCCTCATCTTTAATAACATTTGGTGTTTTTACTATTTTCTTATTTTAGCACTTTTGATAGATGTCTAGTGACGCCTCAGTGTGGTTTTAGTATGTATTTCCCTAAGAGCTAATGATGCTGAACATCTTTTCATCTGCTTATTTGCCATCTGTATGTCCTCTTTAGTGAAGTATCCAAGCTTTTTGCCCACTTTCCTTTTCTTTCCCTCCATCCCTCCCTCCCTCCCTCCCTCCCTCATCTTTTCTTCTTTCTTTACTTTTTTTTTTTTTTAACCTCTGTCACCCAGGCCTCCTGGGCTCAGGCAATCTTTCTGCCTCAGTCTCTCAAGTAGCTGGGAATACAGGTGTGCGCCACCATGTCCAGATAATTTTTTGATTTTTTGTAGAGAAAGGATTTTGCCATGTTGCCCAGACTGATCTCAGACTTCTGGGCTCAAGCAATCCTTCGTCCTCAGCCTCCCAAAGTTCTGGGATTACAGGCGTGAGCCACTGCACCTGGCCCTTTTGCCCACTTTCTAATTGGACTGGTTTTTGGAGAGCTGAGTTTTGAGAATTCTTTGTTTATTTTAGATACTAGACCTTCTTTGAATATATGGTTTGTAAATATCTTCTCCCAGTCTGTAGCTTACCTTTTCATTTTTTTCACAAGAACCTTTGCAGAGAAAAAGTTTTACATTTTGATGAAGTCCAATTTATCATTTTTTTCTTTTATGAATTGTGCTTTTTGTCAAGTCAAAGAATGCTTCAGCTAGCCCTGGGTCTCAAAGATTTTTCTTTCTTTCTTTCTTTTTTTTTTTTACTTGAGTCTCACTCTGTCGCCCAGGCTGGAGTGCAGTGGCACACTCCTGGCCACCACAGCCTCCATTTGCTAGGCTCTGGTGATCCTTCTGCCTCAGCCTTCCAGTAGCCAGAACTACAGGCATGCGCTACCATGCCTGGCTAATTTTTTATTTATTGTAGAGATGAGGTCTCCCCAAGTTGCCCAGGCGGGTCTCAAAATCTACTCGCCTCAGCCTCCCAAAGTGCTGGGATTACAGGCTGAACCACCGAACCTGGTCAGATTTTTCCTATTTTTTTTTTTTTTAGTTTAAAAATTTTATGCTTTATATTCCAGCTCATGATTTATTTGGAATTAATTTTTGTCTAAGGTGTGAGGCTTAAGTCAATGTTCACTTTTTGTGTATGACATCCAATTGTTTCAGTACCATTTGGTGGAAATGCTGTCCTTCCTCCTTTGAATTGCTTTTGCACCTTTGTTAAAAAACAATTGAGCTTCTTTGCATGAATCTGTTTCTGGCTTCTCTACTTTGTTTCATTGATCTACAACATGTATTTATCCCTGAATGAATACCACACTGTCTTGATTACTAGACAGTGAGCTTTAATATCTAGGAGAGTAATTTTTCCCAGTTTATTTTTCTCTGTCAAGATTGTTTTAGCCTTTCCATATAAGCTTTAGGATAAGCTTGTCTGTGTCTACAAAATACTCTGCTGGCTGGGATTGTGATAGAAATTGCATTTAACCAGTAGATCCCTTGGGAAGAATTGATAGCCTTGCTAGGCTGTGTTTTCCAGTCCATGAACACATATGCTTCTCTGTTAATTTAGGTCTTCTTTGTTTTCCTTTATGAGCATTTTGTGATTTTCAGCATGTAGATCGTGTATACGTTTTGTTAGCTGTATATATAAATATTTCATTTTCTTTAGAGTTTCCACTTGCTTCAAAAGCCCCCATGTACCCCAAAAAACTTCATATGTTGATAAGTCATTACTTTTCCACATTTTTTGAAATAACTTTTCCAAAGTTATACGCACACAGCTTCTGATTAGCGTCCAGATAATTTGTGTGTCGAGAACTGTTCTCTAGGCATCTTGCTAGGCTATTTTACTGTGTCTTCTCTAGGATGGGATTCTGTGGGTAGTTGGGGATTGAATCTGTTTTACGAACTGGTATAGTTCTAATGCCCAGTCTGCAGGCTGTGACGTAGTAAAAGTTCAGTACAAATATTTGTTGAAGGAATGATCAGTGAACAGTCTCAGACTGTGAGCTCTGAGAGGCCAGGAGCTGTGTCTGGTGGACACATTTTTGTGCTCGCGATACTTGGCTCAGTAAATGTTTGCGAATGAGTAAAGCAGGTGGTATGACTTTTATTTTACCAATGAAGCATACCCTGCCATGTACTGAGTACCTACTGTGTGCCAGACCCAGGCTAAGTGCTTTCCATAGGTTGCTTCACCGAATCCTCACAAATGCTCTGAGAGGTTGGGACTGTTAGTCTCTCTGCTGGGGACGTTCTGCTCCTTACCCTGCCTGAGTACAAGTCTATTTAACTGCAAAATCTTTTAGTTTACCATAAGAAGTTAATGTAATTTCAGCCCAGAGCAAAGAAAGTTGCCATTCTTGTAACCCTTTGTGGCTTTAATGTTGGTAAGTAGATGTGAAGTTCCCTTTTTTTTATTGAGTCGGTGGTCTCATTGTGTCGCGCAGGCTGGAGTGCAGAGGCATGATCACGGCTTACCACAACCTTGACCTCTTGGGCTCAGGTGCTCCTTCTGTCTCAGCCTCCAAGTGGCTGAGGCTAGAGGTATGCACCACCATACCCAGCTTTTTTTTTTTTTTTTTCTTTTTGTAGAGATGAGGTCTCACTGGGTTCAAGCAATCCTCCCTCCTTGGCCTCCCAAAGTGCTGGGATTATAAGCATGAGCCGCACCTGGTTCCTGTTAAACTTTTTGAATATTAAACATAGCTACATTTCCTCCTGCTCTTTCAGCCCCATGACTACCCAGTGTGGCACCCCAGGCTTTTCACATAAGCTCCACTCCTTCTTCTCTCTTGTATCCTTATATTATTATTACCACCTACAGCAAAGATATGCCAATAATTTTCTGAGTTACCGGACACTGTGTGCAGTGCTTTACATGATTATTACAACTCTAAGAGGTAAATAATATTTGTATCCCTATTTTACAGATGGGGAGACTGAGGCTTAGAATGATTAAGTCACTTTCCCAAAGTCCCACAGCTGGTAAGAGGCCAGGCTGAGATCTGAACTCCAAGATCTGATTACAGTGTGGTGACCATGAAATACTGTCCCTCCCATGAGAAGACTCAGACCAGAAAAAGAAAGGGATCTGCCCAAGATACTTGAAGGGACCCAACTCAAGCCTTTTGCCTCCCAGTTGGGGACCCTTTGAGGGCCATTTGTATCATCTTGACGATCTTGCAGCTGCTAGCCTCCACACCTTACCTGGCGGACACATTCCAAATGTCAAATGAGGATATGCGCGGGGAGTGATCATTAAGATAATTACAGTCCTGGAAAGAGGAGATGACC